AGCCACTTGCCCTGGAGGGATGTTGCTCCTCAGAAGGGACCACCCTTCCCCTGGGCTCTGTTCCCTGACCCCATGATGGAGCCTGCCTCTGCCCCCATGTCTTCTCTGTCACGGCACTAGCACACTGGGCTGTGTTGGTTGGGCTTCTTGTCTATCTCTCCAGTAAGGCACGAGCATCTTGACGGTCAGAAGGGGACTTATATGCTAGGACATTCATCCACTCATTTCTCACTGAGTGCCTCCTATGTGCCAGGTGGTCACTGAGTGGTGAGTAAATGAGGGAAGTCTTGGGATGACCTACAGAAACATCTATATCCATGGTCCAATCAGCAAGCATACGTACCCATCACCTGTGGTGATCCCTTTGCAAAATGCTTTGGGGTCAAAGAGCACTGCAAATGTGAAGACAGCTCGCACCCAGGGAACATGGCAGCCCTGGCGGTTGATCTACGAGGCCACGTGCTGGATTTCATGTAAAGCAGAGCTGATCAACAACCCCCACCCCACCCCTCTCTCTCCTTTCCTCCTCCCTCCCTAAGTCCAGAGAAACCTAACAATTGTTTCAGACTTTGGGATGCTCTAAAGGTAACGTTCAAAAGCCCAGACTCAGGAGGGGCCATCCACATAGTTCATCAGCCAGGGCTTGAAAAGAACAAAACAACCCACAACCACCATTGCACCTTCATTTGTGAGACGGTTTCTTTGCTTACTGGATGTCCCTCCCACAACCCCTGGGCTCTGGTCCCATTATCCTGGAGGAAACAGGCCAGTAGAAACAGGAGAGCCATCATTCAAAGAGCTCAGTACACCTGAGCTTAAAATGCCCCCTCCATTGTCTTCCAACAAACAGGAACAGACTCCTGATGGCTGAAAATTTAGTCACACCCCCCGCCCAAGGCCCCATCACCGGCCCCCATCTTCACACACCTTGGCCTCTGTCAGGCCCTTCCTAGGATTTGTACCACATACATGCAGTTTCCTGTCTGTCACACCCATGCTCACTAGTTCCCCCTGCCCCCCGCCAAACCCAGCAAGCTCCTACTTCTCCATTAAGACCCAACTCCAATATCCTCTTCTCTCTGAAACCTCTCCTGACTCCCTAGTGGCTGGTGCCTTTTGGCCCCCCCCCAATTCTCTGCTCTTATCTCTTCTCCACTTGACAGTCTGATGACCTGTTCATGTGTCCCTCACACATCACGGACTATGACCATGATGATAAGGCCCATGTCCTCTTCATGTTTGTGTCTCTGGCACCCAATACCAGCCACTCACCCCATGCATAGTCCAAACCCACCCTGACACTTAAGATCCCATCTAGTTTAGTCTAAACCAAATGCCCCTTACAGCACCAAAAAGATTTTCACCTAGAGGCAAACAGTGGAGGTAGATTTCACAGGGAACACAGCCCAAGATCTGAACAGCGGGAGGTAGCTTTCCCTAGAACCAGACACCCAAGCAGGAACCAGCTTCATGAAGAATCTGCCTGCTGGTAGGTGAAGAGGTGCTACTCAAGATGGCAGCCAAGGTGTAATGTTCCGGGCCTCAGTGAAAATGCAGGTGATGCCCCAAAGATCTTGGGTCTGACCTTACTGCAGTCATTAGCCCCCAGGGGAATCTGTTTCTCAGATCAGCCAGCTGGTGACCCAAGAGAGGGGCTAATGCCAGGAAGCAGTAAGAGTGTGGTGTCTGGAAGGGAAAAGGCAGTGCTACAGGGGACCTGAGGGGTCTCTAAAGTGTTGATGGACAGGGAGCTTCTCACCTTGCTCCATCCTCAAAGGCAACTTTATTAGAGTATTTCTGTGACCCCTAACAAAACGCAAGGTCTTGCACATACCAGGTAACCTCATCCCACTGAAGTCTGGGGGACAACCTGCCAAAACGAAGCAAACTCAGGGGGACCATAGCTGTGTGGGTCAGCTGTGGAAGAAGCCAGAATACACAAACATGCAGGTATTTGTGCAAGGCCATCTGGCCTACAGAGCAAATGTCCAAGGGAACAGCGAGGAAGGGGCTCAGCTTTCAAAGGCAGTGCTGGATTCAGGGAAATAAAAGATTCCAAGTTGGTGAAGCGATCACCTATAAACCTAGTATCCAATATCACACACAACTCAAATAGGAGGTCAGTGACCAGTTCCAGAGCTGGTTCTCCAAAACCCCCTTTGGGTCATTAAATTCTCTTAGCAGGTTTTACCTTGACTGTATAAATGGTCCGTTTAACACTTGGAGAGTAAATGTATTCCGCATCTGGTCGGTGGGAGACCCAGCTGGTGGCATTCACCCACCCATCACATGTTCGTTGGTGGTTTTCACCAACACTTACGTGCTGGCTGCACACTGCAAGGGGCATGGGCTTGGAAAGGACAAAGCTGGAGTCAGACAGTTCCTCACCCCAACTCTGCATCTCTCTCCCCCAGGCAGGTGTACTGACTCCACGCCCTCCTCCCCAAAGACTTAGTGCTGTTCTGACCCTGACCTACGGCACACTTAAGGCTCCATTTAGCATCAAGTTCACTGGTGCTGACCCGGCACTGTGACAGAGGACTGACCCCAATGTGCCGTCTCTCTGAGGCTGGGCTCCGGGCAAGGAGGAGAGGAAAAGAACAGGAGCCGTGAAAATCATGGCACAGTCGTGGATCACGGGTGTGGTAGGGGTGGGAAATCCGATGGACTTCGGCTCTTATCAACGCACACCACAAACCTCAGCTCGTGTTTACTGAGCACTTACTCTATGGGGAGGACCGAGCTAAACCCTCTACCTGCCGAGCGTGAAGCGTGTGTGTGCCACAGGCCAGACGTCCATGTGAATCCTGGCCCTACCGCTCCTCAGCTGTGCGACTTGGTGCAAACTGCTCAGCCTCTCTCTGCCTCCCTTTCTTTGTCGAGAAAACGGGGCAACACCAGTTCGAACTTTAAAGGTTCGTTGTGAGGATTAAATGAGTAAAAACATAAAATGCTAAACTTGAACCCTGTCCTGGCATGGGAGTGGCAGTCGGTATTACCCCATTCATTCGTTCTGCCAGTCTGCAGCGAAGATGATCATTTCTTCCTATTTTACCAGTAAGGCTTTGAGAGACTGAGTCAGCTTGCTCAAGGTCACGGAGTTGATAAGTGGCAAAGCTGGGATTTGAACGCACGCAGCCTGACTGCAAAGCCCGCAAGCTTAACCACCACCACGAGTCCAGCACTGTGTTAGGTACGAGGTACCCAGAGACCAGTGTGGGCATGAGCAAGGGATCCCTATGGGGAAGGGACACTGAAAGAAAAAGGCAGTGGAGGGCCCGAGCTGGGGCAACAGGGAGTGACAGAGTTGCTTCGGGAAGTGAGGAATGCTACACTGGCAGGGGACTGGAGCTCAAGTCTCAGGGAATGATGAGGAATTTGCCAAGGAGGAGGAAGGGCATTCCAAAAAGTCAGGACCTAGAATACTGAAACAGTAAGTTGGGTGGTGGTATGGCAGGCACCTCAAGATGTAACTAAGGCGAGGCTGGGAAGGTAAGGTGGGGCCTTACCATGAACAGCCGTGTGAGCCCACGGCGGAGGATAAGATGGGGCCCTGCAAGACAGCGATTCTCAAACTTGAGTGTGTGCGGGATCTAGCTTTGGTGCTTGTAAACTATCCGCAGCGCCCCATCCCTTCTGTTAGCCCTGGGGAGCCAACGACCGTATTAAGACAATGCAGTCACACGGCCTGCTGTGGTTTGAACAACAGAATTCGGGCACGGGACTGAGAGGAGATTTGGGGACAGAGGCTGGCATAATCGGCCAAACTGGAGCAGATAAGAGGATGAGAGCTGGGAATAATAGCACCCTTCATGAACTGATACATTACACCAGGGTTTCTCCACCTCGGCACCGACATTTGGGGCTGGCTAATTCTTTGCTGTGGGGGGCTGTCCTGAACATTATAGGCTATTCAGCAGCATCCCTGGCCCCTGCCCACCAGATGAACACCATCCTCCCCCACTTACATGTTGACAGCCAAAAATGTTTCCAGACATTGCCAGATGTCACTTAGGAGGCAAAAATGGAAACCCCGGTTGAGAACAACTGCTTTAAATCCTCCCGTCCCTACTTTACAGATGAGGAAGTCCAGCCGCAGAAAGAAAGGTATAGGAGGGCCTCAGCCAGACTCACACGCTGGTGGTCTGTCTCCAGGGCCTGGGCTCTTAGCCACTGAGCTGAACTGCCTGTCGAGAAAGAGATTCAGGCCAGCCTTCTGGGGCAGAATTATATATTTCCTGAGAGACTGGATGATGAGAAGAGGATGAAAGAGTGAGGTTCAAAGGTGAAATGTCAGGGCTTGCCACTGAACTGTGAAGACAGTAGGTACTAAATAAATCGTTTGGATTTGAATAGAATCAAGATGCATTTGCTTAAAAAAGAAAAAGCCTGATTCTCCATGGTATGAGCCAGCGGGAGATGACAGGTTCCTGCTCACTCTGGATAGAGGAAACCCTCTGTAGGGCTGGACATGGGATGTGTGGTATAAATCAGCTGGTACCCAGATCCTGGCTGGGCCCCTTCCCAGCTGTGTGGCCCTGGACACATTACTTAACCTCTCTGCGTCTCATTCTGCCCGTCTGTAAAACAGGGGGAGTCCCTACTCAGAGGCTTGATGTGAGAACTCAGGCAGTTAATAAGCGCAAAATGGCAAGCTAGCACCATGCGGTTGGCCCTCCTCTCCCTCAGAGGGCCATCCTCATTACCTCCCCGCCTCCCTCGCGCCCGGGATCGAGTGCTCCCCCCACTCCTTCCAATCCTGGGGAACCGGGCCAGAGCGGCAAGGAGCGGACTGCGCCCCTCTCCACCAGTAGAGCGTCCCACTGAGGCTTTAGGGGGCGCCAACAGCCTTTCGACTCCCCAGTGCGCTCTGATTTCAGGGTCCTGGGGGGTCGCCAAAAGCGCACGGCGAGCTGGGTGCCTCCAAAAGGAGCGAGATCCGTGAGTTTCAACGCGCGCCACAGAAACTTCGGGCAGGTCCGCACCCGGTAGGCCCGGGGTCAAAGGCAGTCACTGCCGCGGGCCGGCCCGCTCAGCCCACGCTCCCGAGGCGGAGGAGGAGCGAGGCGCCGAGATTTGGGCAGAACCCGCTCTCCGAAACCAGGCTGCAGAGGCAGAGAGCTGAGAGTTTGCGGATCGAGAAAAAGAAGCTGGGGGCGGGGGAAGCAACGGGAAAAGAGGAGGAAGGGGAGGCAAAAAAGAAAGGGCTGGAAGCCGAGTTCTTTGGGGGACCCAGCCTGCAACACCTGGGCAGGGGGTCAGGAACAAAGCAGCGGCTTCAGGTCAGAAGTGCTCTGGGTGTTTCCGAAGAGGGGACGCTCCGGGGAGGCCCAGGCCAGCTGGGGATGCCTGGCGCCCCTGCGCCCTGGGCGCGCTCTCGGGCGCCGCTTACCTTCGCCGGGGCCGCCGGCGCGCACTTCCGGGGGCTGCGCTCGGGGCGCGCCGGGCCGAGCCGGGGGACCCGAAGCCGATCGCCGCGGGGAGGAAGCGGCAAAGCGGCGCCCGGGACTTGGGCGGGCGCTGACGCCTTGGAGAGAAATCCCCGTGGAGGAGCCGCCGGGGACGGCGCGGGGCGCGGGGTCCTGGCCTCGGCGCTCACGGGCGGTCGCACCGAGCCCTGCAGACTCTGGAGGAGCCCGAGTCAGTGGGAGGAAAAGGTTGTCTCATTTCCTTCGGTCTCCCTCCTCCTCCACCCCCTCGGCTCCGGACCTGCCCTCCCTCTCCCCCGCCCCCTTCCCCAAGCCCGCGGCCCATGTGGGCGCTGGAAAGACGCGAAACCTGAACGGCTGCGGCGTGCGGCGCCTCCCTCCACGCCAAGTTAGTTCCCGCTCCCCAACTCCTGCCTGCCTCCGCGCGCTGCCGACTCTCTCCAGGGCCGCGGAAGGTTCCCCATCGGCCGTCTCCACCCTGTCCCGGAGCTCTCGCCTTTTCCCCCTGCTGGGACGAGTCCAGATTTGAAAGCAGATTTCCAAGCTCTTGCCAGCATCCATCCTCTCATTCCTGTCCCGTCTCCTGCTTTGAGCCCCGATTAAACCACCCAACCCAGACAGGATATAAGTACTTACTTTGTTAAATTTGATCAACTTTTTTTTTTCCAGTGGGGTGTTTAAAGCCTGATGCATAATCTCGAAGGAATGTTCATTTTGATCAGAAGGAGAGCAGCTGAGGTCTTTCCTCTGTTTGGCCGTGCTCGTTCAGAGTTGAGGTTTTGTTTGTTAAATTCAGCAACTATTCATTGAGAGCCCGATCTGCGTTGAGCTGGGCGCTGGAAACGCAGAAATGAACCAGAAGGGCATGCTGTTCCTTGACAGTCGTCGTCGGTGACAGGTGCAAGCACAGAGGAGGTCCAGGGATGCGGTGGTCTCTTAAGAGAGAGGTCAGGGACTGGAAGAGCCTTCTATGGAGTAAAGACAGCGTGGGCAGAGGCAAGAAGGAATGAGAAAGCCCCATGAGGAGGCCGTCCGGCAGAGATCATGGCCAGAGCAGGGAGCGGTGGTGGGGAAAAAGGGAAGAGAATGTCGAATCAGTCCATCAAGAACGGACAGGAGCTGCAGGGAGCAGTGGGTGCAATTGACAGGACCTGGTGACAAGAGCTGATGGGGGCAGATAAGGAGAGGATGACGGGAAGAGGTAACGTCCACACCTCAGGCTGGAGTAACCAGTGACCAGGGGAGGAACAGAATCCAGCGTGCCTTTTGGCTCTGCTACCCAAGGGTGGGCGTTCCTGAGGTTGGCAGTATTGGCATCAACTGGTAGCTTATTAGAAATCAGGACTTGCCAGTCCCACTTGACCTACCGAATCAGAATCTGCATTTTCACAAGACCTCCAGAGATTCAAATATGCACTAGAATTTTGGAAGCACTGCTCTCTAGACCACTGACAGTGTACTGGAATGACTGTATATTAGACTGTGAAGCCCCTCCTGTATATGAGACACACCTGGGGAGCTTTAAAAACTAGTGTGAGGCCCCTGCCGCACCCCCACAAATACTTATTTAACTGGTTTGGGGTGATCTCCTTCTGAAATGCTTTCCAGATGATCTAATACAGTCAGAGTTGGAGAACCACTGTTCTAGACTTGTTCGAGAGCTACTTCATTTAACCTTGAAATGCACCTCTTCAGAAAGGGAAAGAACACCCATGTGTAAATGAAAACTTAAAGACTAGTTATCTCGCTCTCACACAGAGTCGACTGGTCTGCTGGAAAGGGCCCTTGTTTCCTAAACTTAATCAGGAAAGCAGATTCTAGCCTCAGATGGCCCCTAAATTACTCTCTGGACTTGGGCACGTACTCCCCTCTCAGGCCTCAGGCTCCTTATCTGTAAAATACACACCTGACTAACCTGCAAGGTGCCACGAACAGAGCTTCTAACTCTCCAGCTTTATCAGCAGGCAGATGGAAGGTGGTGTTGACAAGTGGGTTTTCCTGGTCTTAGTCTTGTGTACTCCGGCCCCGTGCACAGCCATGCATGAACAAGAGGAATCCAAGGATTGTGTGCTGAGCACAGGGCCACACACATAATTGGTGTTCAATAAATGCGTGCCAAATATATGAATAAATAAATACACTGATGCCAGGAGATGGCATAGACTTACCATAGTCTGGCCCTAATCCAGGGCCTCTTCATTTGTCCCCCTAAACTGGAGGAAGGATATCTGGAAATACTCTGACCCATGAACCTAGCTTTGGATTTAAAACAACTGCTGTTAAGAACTGCTAACATTTGTTGAATACTTAGTGCATACAAGGTCTTGGGCTAAATACCCTGCTTAGGATCAGCTCATTTCATTATAATGAAGAAGGTACTGTGGAGCCCCTGCACCCCAGCTGGTTGTAGGAACCACAGATATAGAGGCACCCCCTGCCTCTGGTTGTGCAGCTCAACATAGAAGGCTCCTGAGCCCTCTTGGGGGTCTTCTGTGGGTCATTCTCCAGAACATACATCCTTGCGTAGAGACCAGCTTTGGAGGAATGGCTCTGGAGTGACTGCCCCAGGGTCCTACAGAAACAGATGTGTCCAGAAGCTACCCAAGGCAGCCCATGGGCAGCTACGGCTGAGATTCCTGCAAGCTACTGGCTTCGTGGCCACACACGCGTGTGCATGTGCGTGCCTTTTACGTGGACTAGCCTCTCAGTGGCCAGACCCTGCGCCCGGCCTTTTCACCTGTATTTCTTTCCATCCTCGTAGCGTCTTGACAGATGAAGCGCTCCTATTTTCTTATTTTATAAACGAGACTACTGAGGCATCATGAAGGGAAGCTCTTTTTGTCCCTGCAGCTCCTCTAGTACCCCGTCCCCCGCCACCCCTGCCCCCCCCCGACCCTGCCCCTTCCACGGAAAAGAGAGTCCTTCCTTCAAGTCCCATTCATTTGTATGGTTACACAACATCAAAACTCTCTATGCCTCATTTTCCCACCTGAAAAATAGTTGTCCATGATTGCCTTTTTATTAAGGTCCTGTGTGTGTGGCTGGACACCCCATAGCCTGAGAGGAGGTGAGGGGATGTAACCTGCAGACTGAGAGAAATTGAAAGTAAGTGGGGCTATTTATCCCAAGATGAGAAGATCCAGAACTTCACTAATAGCATACGATCATAAAAGAGGAGATCTACTTTCCATCTCTAGAGGACATAATGAAAGAATAGCGTGACACCGGGGCGGTGTAATGGGTGGCTCCGTGCGTTAAGTGTCTGCCTTCAGCTCGGGTCATGATCCAGGGTCCTGAGATCGAGCCCCGAGTTGGGCTCCCTGCTCGGCAGGGAGGCTGCTTCTCCCTCTGCCCCTCACCCTGCTCATGCTCTCTCTCTCTCTCTCAAATAAATAAAATCTTTAAAAAAAAAAAAAGAAGGAGAAGAATAGCATTACACAGCACAGCGTTTCAGACCTCGGGTCAGACGTGAGGAAGGGGCCTCACGCCCCCGTGCCGGGCCAGGGCAGATGCTCAGTGGGCGCCTGGCAGAGCTGCTGTCCCTGGTCCCCGAGGGTCTGCTGGACTGGCCTGAAGGGCGGAGGTGGGTGAGAACACAAGGCAGGGTTGAGATCCAGAGGACTAGCTGGGCAGGGACGGAGGCAGGAGGGAGTCTGTCTGCACAGGTACGGCGTGCAGCTCTAGTTCCAGCCCGGAGTGGGGAGTTAGAAAAAGGTTCATCCCAGGAAACCAGGACATGAAGTAACCACGGCATGGTCCAGGCCCGGGGCTGTGAACTGGGCTCTGGTGTGAGCAGCCTTGCTGGTGTGGCCGCCAGCAGGCCTAGTCCTCCCTGTAGAGGATGCAGGGCCCCCAAGGCGCTGGCGCTCAGAGCGGGGCTCCACCACGCACATGCTGGTGTCGTGGGCTATAGCACAGACAACTCAGGACAAGGTCCCTTCAGTTAGCCCAGAGGACATGTGGTCATTTTAACCACCAGTGTGTGTGTGGCGGGGGGAGGGGGTGCTGTGGCATTCCTTTGGCAACATCATGATGCCAGGATTGTGTAGGAGGATCCCTATGCGATCCCTTGCTGAGCCCCATGGATTCGCTTCTGTTTGCCCAGGCCCCCAGACGCATTCCTGCTGGTGCCACTTCCCCAACTCCCACCCGTGTTGCTATGACAGCAATATGACCATTTTGCCCAGAGTTCACTGTGGCAGATTTTTACTACTGGTGTTGCCTCAAACAAAAATATAACCTCAGACTTTGCTTATCCCCATTATATTGATAAGGAAATTAAGGCCCAACACCCAAAGGCAGACACCAAATAAGGCCAAGCTACCAGCTGACCTAAGGTGAGACCTTCACGCCCCTATGGTTCCACCTGAAAATAAGCTGCAATGAGGTATGTCTAGATATGTCCTCACCCCAAACCGTCTGTCCCCGTGTAACCCATTTATCTATCAATTCAGTTAACTGTCATTTCCTAGAGACCACCTGCCCTTCACAGGAAATTGTCCAAACACTGTAGACAACCTACACTTGACACTCAGTCCTCACTTGGGGAACATTTTAAAATAACAGTCTGGGCTTCAGACCAGACCAGTTGAATCAGAATCTCTAGAGGTGGGACTTTTTTTTTTTTTAACTTCTACAGGTAATTAAAATATGCAGTCAGTTTTAAAAACCACTTCTGTGGGAAATGCGGAGACAAAATCTAGGTCCTAACAGATGAGAAACTTACAAAACAGTACGAAGCTCAGTCAAGTAGAGGATGGTTTCCAAAAGTCATCAGGAAAAGGAAAATACTGAAATCACTCCCTTGTCCGAAGCACGTTAAGACAATGCCAAACTGACAAAAATCCCTAGACTTACCTCAGCCTTGAGTGAGTGAGGTCATCCCCACATGGTCAAGGGTAGGAAATCTGGTTCCATCCCAAGAAAGTACAAATGATTGAAACCAGAATCCTTGCCCCTTCTCCTACGGCACTGCTATTTACAAGAAGCCTTCAAAAGTCCAGTGCTTATGAATTCCAGAAGTAGTAAATGATCTCCAGGAACGTCAGAGCAAGGCAGTCATGTAAACCGAACGATGAAAGACAAAGGAAATTGCCTCATGGCCCAATGAGAGGCTAATGGATGTACAGACGGAGACACCAATGTGTCACCATTAATGATGTCACTTCGGGAAAATCGGGAGGCCGAGATTTTTTTTTTTTTTTTAATGCTTTGCCCTATGGTCATTTCACATTTACTCATCTTACAAAAGTGAACTTGAAAAGAAAATGGGTACTTGTGTAAAATGTGAGTTTGGAGAAGCAGGACGATTTCTTTTTCTTTCTTTTTTTGAACGCACCGTCTCTTTTGCCATCACATTCCCTGGCAAAGCAATGGGATTTCTGTGAAGGCCCATGGATAGTCATTTAACCAGATGGCATTTCAATTCATTCATTCCATGACACCCTGCCGAGATGAAACCACTCCTTTGATAGTATCAGCTACTAACACCTCCCAGACACCGAAGCACCGAAAACATCCAGGACAAACTTTCACCAGCTTTGTACAAGGTCTAATGGATGCCTGTAATTACCAAATCAATCAATATTGACAGTATGTCCTCTCTGAA